CATGATGCTCCCACAAAGCAGCCCTGGCCCACCAGCTGGGATTTTTTTATCCACCTCACTCCCTCCAGCTCCAGATCAGAGGACGAGGGAGGGCCCGTTACTTTTCACTCCCCAGCCTGTGTTTAGCAAACTCCCTGAAGCAATACTGCACTGTGGGATATTTCTGTCTCTGTCCCCCAGTCACCAGGGCAGGCTCCTCCCCCTCCCGGGGCACCCCCAACAGCTGCCCGGGGTTCCGCAGCTGCCATGCCCCTTTTTAGGTATGCTATTCCTGTGTACACCCGGTCCTCTCTCTAACTTTCCCACCATAGAGATATGGCTCCCAGCCCGTTTGTAGGAGCTAATGCTGACAGGAACATGTTTATAAAATATTTTTAGAAACAAAGATTATTTTAGAATAATAAAAACATAATCACACTCAATGTATAAACAGTGAGCTTAATTTAATAAACAGTTAAATGTAACATAATCATAAGAATATTGCAGAAGAGCGAGTTCAGCTTGGGTCACTAGTGTCTCTTTTCACAGGGAGATAATAAATGTTCTTGAGCCAAAGGCAACTGGGCAAGTCTCAGGCTTGCTTCCCTCCCCCTTCTCTCCCTCTCTCCTTTCTCCCTTCCCTTCCTCCTCTCCCCTCCCCGCTCCCTTCTCCTTCCTCCCTTCCTTTCCTTCCTCCCTCTTTCCTTTTCTCCCTCCCTCCCTCCTTCCCTCCCTCCCTACTTTCCTCCCTCCCTCTTTCCTTTCTTTCCTTCTTCCCTTCCTTTTTTACCTCTTCTCTTCTGTCATTTTGGGGGTTCCGGGTTATTGCAGAACCCCTGTGAAGGGATTCATTGTTAACCTATCATAACATAGTATAGGTACTTTTGTTTTGGTGTCAAATATACCTCTCTCTTCACCACCATAGTTACTTAACTCAGTACGTAACTGGGCCATCATTTATTTACCTGATCTCCTGGTGTGGGCATGCTGATTCTTTCCTAACTTCTCTTACTGTTATACGTCATGCTGGCTAGTGTTCTTGTTAAGATCTAAGCAACTGCTGCTCAGTTCATCCTGCTTTTCCATTCACCTGTTTACCTCCTCAAAGAATTCTAGTAGGTATGGCATTCTTTTTTATAAGCACACTGTCCAGGATTGCATTTAAATTTAACTTTGCTATAATATGATAAATACAGTGCTTAAAAACTTGGGTTCTAAAGTCAGCCTACTTGAGTTTGAATCCAGTTCTGCCATTTACAAGCTGTGTGATCTTGGGCTAGATATTTAACCTTCTGTACTTCCGTTTCTTCACCTATGATAGAGGGTAATAAGAGTACTTATCTCATCTAGTTGTGAGGATTATAGAAAGGATGTATTCAACCCGGCCAGTGTGGCTTAGTTGGTTGAACACCGTCCCATGCACCACGAGGTCATTGGTTTGATTCCTGGTCAGAGGTGTGCAGGAGGCAGCTTCTTGTCAATGTTTCTCTCTCATCGATGTTTCTATCTCTCTCTCTCCCCCTCCCTTCCTCTCTCTCTACAAATCAAAAAAAACATATTTTTTGAAAATGATGTATTCAAAGGCACAGAACAGTATCTAGCATTTAGTGCTCATTCAAATAATATTAGCTATTGTTAGTGATAATTAGCTTGCTTTTCCTTTTTATTCACAGTATTAAATGTAGATTTCTACAAAAATGTGGTTGTAGACAAAACTTCACTTTTGGGCAAGAAATACTGGGAGCAGAAAGAAAAGAATACAGTGGTCTCAAGGGGGCAAAACACATATTAAGAAATACAGCCAATTCTTAAGATGTGGCCAGATGTCAAAATCTATAATACAGTAGAGTTGTGAGCTAGGCTGCATGCAGTCAGTGTGGTGGAGACAGGCTACACACAGTGGGTGTGTGGAGATGGGTGTAGCTGCCAAAGGCCCATAGGTCACCTGCCACCAGCCACGTGGTGGGTTCACACACGCATAAATAAAATAACTGCTATTTTTCCTGTCTGTTTGGACTAGGACTGGCTGGTACACATTTACGTTCACTTCTCCATAGGGCTCTTTTCTCTTCCTTCTGTTCTCTTAGTGAACCTAGAGAAAAAGTCAAGTTTCTTGTTTACTTGGGATTTTCCTAAAGGACAGACTCCACTATGCTCACGTGGCCTCCTTAGGGAGCCCGTTCTACAAACGGGCCCTCCTCACCCTGCAGGGTTCGGTCACCAGAGAACCCTCAGTGGGAGCAGTGACGGGTATGAACTCGGGAACTACTTTTGGAGATAGGGAAATACGGGGAATTCGGGGTCAACCGTTCACTCTTATCTGCTAGAGAAGTACATCGGACACATCTGAATTAGGCATTCTTTTACATTTTAATTATTAGGCCAAGTCCTTGGTTGATAAGAAAATAAGTTCAATACATGTATGGAGGGAAGACCAGGCATTTTTTTTTTAATCCAAAGACTTCCTGTGGTCTCAAGTGCCAAGAAAGAATGCTGTCTGTCAAAGGCCTGATTTTTATTCTTAGTTTTGTAGCAGACTAGTTGAGTTCCAGAAAGGATGGAGCAATCTGTTCTCTTGTTTTAGAAGATTTTCTTGGGATCATGTTCCTGGTCCTCCCTTTCCCTGTACTATTGTTTTGTGAGACAGGAGCCTGGGCAGCATAGCCAGAACCCAGAGAGACAAGCAATCCCCCATCAGCACACATCTCTCACAGTGCTCTCCTATGAACAGGACTCCACTTTAGCCTCCCCCATGGAATGTTCCATGGAATATATACTTTAACATCATACTGTACTGAAGAAATTATTTTCTAAAGAAGCAGCAACAGGGAAGAATCAATTGATTAACCTTAACTTCTGTTGGAAATTTTATGGACATCGGAAACTACAAAATGCTTTTACTCCAGAAAAGGGGTATATCCTAGAACTAATGGTGATTTTCAAAGTCCCCGAATGCCTTCCAAGTATTCAGGGGAAATAGGAGTAAACAAATGTCACTATTTTTTGAAACCTTGTTAAGTGGGAATTGTAGATCCAGGCCTCCACATGGGTGACAGAGGAAAGTAGCAACTACGCATATGTCGCCTCAATGTCCATCATGAGAGGATCAATAGACCCAAGCTTTGGAATATTATGTAGCCATAAAAAATGAAATAGCTCTATCTACATGTACTGACATGGAAGAATACCTTATACATTGTTTAGAACAATAATGATGCAGACCACTATTCATAATGGGATTTAATTTTTGTAAAAACAAACAAAATATACATACATATGGATATAGAAATCTGCTTTATTGAGAGCTAGAAGAACATATTTCAGCTGTTAACAGTGGATTCCTCAAGGTATCGAGAGTGAATAAAGAAGACGGGAGTGGTGGTGGGGGAGGGGAAGAGAGGAATGTTTACTTTTTAATTTATTCACATCTGTATTGTTTGGATTTTTTTCATAAACATGTATTTTATAAGACTTTGCATAAAAAAACATATAAAACTATTTGTACCAGAAACGAGTCTCTGTGTGTCTGGCGCTTTGAAGCTCTACAAAGGAACATGCTGTCAATCGGCAGAGAGCACACGTGGCAAGCACCGAAAAGTCTCCTTACAAAGCAAGAGAAACTGCCTCTCACTTGTAAACATCGGCTATTGCATGTCACAGATTATAAGAAGAGATGGAAGTGAAATCCAAAGCTGCTGTGTGATGGAAGTCCTTACATCTGTGTGAGCGGGCTGATAGCAACAGTGGAAGAGACATGTATGCAGTTAAAAAAGATGCTGAACGTATGCAAATATTTTCATCATAATGTGGGAAAGATATGCTGCTGCCCTCTTATGATACTTAGCATCTTAGATACTGATTGCCATCAAGAGTCCCATCTCAACCGAGAGGGGAATAATTTCCAGGGAAATGAATCCTAATTAACATATTTGTATTGAGAACCTAATGTGTGCACTGGTCTACATACAGGGTTGGGGAGAGGGGACACAGAGTGAATAAGAGCCAATAGTTGCCTCAAGGTGCTTATAAACTAATGGGGGAGCGAAGGTGGGACAGGCTCCAGGATGCAGTGTGGGCCGTAGTGAGCACACATACAGCTAAACTAAAGCAGGGCTCCTGAGTAGCGTGGTTGGGTGGTCCCTCCACAGGAAAATCATTTAAGCAAAGAGGAGAGAGTCAGTGTGGAGAGGAGACAAAGAGGAAACTAATTAGGTAAAGTTGGTAGAGGCCTGGAGAGAACCCAAAGGGAGAAATTGATCATGAGAAGGAGGGATATTATCCTAAATATGTAACAAAGGAAGAGGCCCTGAGTGGAGAGGCAGAGACGCTGAGATGAAGGGAAAGGAACCCAAAGAGCCCACTTGTAACAGCTTTGACTTTCTCGGTCTAGAGAGAAGCTACATCACTGACAGAGAGCCAAAGGGTAGCAGCAGGGTTGGGAGCTGTGGGGAGATTTGGCGTAGCCACCGTGAAGACTATAAGTCAGCCAGGAATGATGAGAAGGGTTTTGCAGCATCTTTGAGGTCATTGCTGAGTAGCATGAATTTTTAATGAAACTAATCAACCTTTTCATTTCTTTCTCCTGCAATGTTGCAGGTAGGCACAGGGGCATGGAAATTCAGCTTGGCTGGAGTGCATGTTTTGTAGAAATCAATGATTCTTATATTGAAGGCTGCATATGAAAATTCATTGGGGATTGATTGCAAATAAACGCATCGTTTCAGATTTCACTTGGTCGATTTCTTTCTTTACCCTTAATATTTAGTCACATGATTCAGATAACTATATTTTCATCAAGAACTAGGGACAGTATCCTGTGCTTCCAATGTTAACCAAGCAAGTAATGTTATTAGAATTTCTAAAGTTTCTAGCTCACAGTTGCTTCCATTCAAGTAACTATATTTTCGTCAAGAACTAGGGACAGTATCCCGTGCTTCCAATGTTAACCAAGCAAGTAAATGCTATTAGAATTTCTAAAGTTTCTAGCTCACAGTTGCTTCTCATATATTATGTATTTTCAGGTTGGAAAAACAAATAGCATCCTTTTTGGAAGACCAGGATCCAGAGAGTAGACTAGAGGTTGGCGCCGACATGCGTAAAATTCATCACTGTTTCCGTCATTTAAAGGTAGGGTTAAGCCTTTCCCCTGGTAGAAGCCTTCATCTGCTATGTTCAAACTACAATGCAGCCTTCCTACTGACCAGCTCTGAAAAGGTCGGGACCCATCCACACAGCCAGACGGGATGACCTTCGAACCAAGGCTGTGGTTGTCATTGAATTCCTGCAGAGCTTGTCTCTTAGTTGCCAGTGAATAAGCTCGGACCATAGACTTCTAATTCTTTTGCCAGGAATCTCTACCTTCTACATGGAATAGTTCCATGTTCAAAAACCATCTATTTTCAAGCGATATCCAGAGAACTGTACCTTTAATGTTTTCCAGCAGTTTGGATTCACCCATATAAATCCTCAGTTTTTCTCTGCCTTAGGTTTACCTTTGATAATGGTACAAGGGAGTACCATTACCCTTTACTTCCACCTCACTTATAATTTGACATACTTTGTAAAATGACACATCTTTGTGGCAAGTCTGTTGTGAAGTATAGAAAAGGCAAGAAAAGTAAGTCATGGAGAAGACAGATATGTAAGGAATAATTGCAGTACACGGAAAGTATCATTTTGAAAAGTGGTTTGGGGTTATGGAGAAAGGGAAGGAAGTTCAAGAGGAGATCATGTCAGAGCAGGAATTTCCCAACTTAGGGAAGAAGAGGTCAGATAGCAGAGGGGAAAGAGGAGGCAGGATGGAGAGAGGGAAGACATGGCAAGCAAAGGCACCTGCATGGCACAGACAGGAGGCAGGAAGGGATGTGCACACTGGTGTGTAAGTCATTGGGAAAGGTGGCATCTCAAAGAAACACACTTGGAATAGAGATATGGACACCAGCTCTTATCTTACCTTCCAGAAACTACTGATGGACAAGAAGGGTGATGGAACGAACACAATGTCCTCTGAAATCAAAGACCAGGACTATCAGGAGCCACTGAAAGGGGAGGAATATAAAAAACTACGAGATATTCTACAGCAGAGAGATAATGAAATCAGTATCCTTCCTGAAGCAGTCAGAAACGCTCCCTCTATGGGCCTGAGCAGGGAGGGCGGGCACAGACTCCCCCTGGACACAGCACCTGGTGCCCCACCCACCTGCTTCCAATACATGTTACTGTTTTCCGTTTTGAAGTAAAATGTCTTTTTTAATTGTTTTTTTCTTTTTGGTTCTCTGATTGAGTGATATTTTCAACTCTGTCTTCTAATTCACTGATTTGATTCTCAGCTTCCCCTAATCTGCTGTGTATTCCTTCCAATGTGTTCTTTATTTGTATTATTCATTCTTTATCTCAGACTGTTCTTTTTTCATAGTTCCTATATCTTTTTTCATGCTGTTGAGCATTTTT